GGAGTCAGCAACTGGAACAAGTGACAGGGACTCTGGGTCAAGGTCTCATTCCAGGAGACTGAGGGCACCTGGTATGTTTGTGGGGCCCACCCTGGTCTTTAGAGTCAGCTGTTATGGCCTGGGGATCTGAGCCTGCCTGAACCAAAGTCCGTGGTGATTAGCTGACAGGGACCATCACGTCAGCATGTATTAGGAAACAGGTCAGACACAGAACCTGAAGCTGTATGGGGCTCCCACTTGTGTGCACAACCCTGTCCTTCTGGGATCCCCTGAGAACCTGGGAGATCACAGGGTTCTCTCCTCTGCCCTCAGCCCCGTGGCCACACGGGGGCGCTGCGGCGCTGTCCTAGTCTGGCAGCCAGGGGAGAGGCTGGGTGTGTGTGACTCAGTCTGAGAGGGTGAGTTGGGGCTGAACATCACTGGGGGAGGGGGTGACGATGCCCTGTGAGCAGCCCTGGCACCAGGCTGGGCGGGGGGAGTGGAGGAGAGGAGAGGAGGCTCTGGAGCTGCCCTGTGTCTGAGGTGCCATCTTCTACCCCCACAGCCTCTCTCTGCAGCCCCTTGATGACCACACCCTGGAGACTGCAAAGCAGATGCTATTCCCTTCCACTCCCTGTGCCTTTTCTGAGGGCTACATTTTAATATTTTTATTTTAAAATAATGTATGTAAAAATTGGTACAAGATTCCTGTATATCCCTCACCCTTTTCTCTGTTAACATGGATATCTCTGTCTTATCTGTACAGCTAATGGGGCAATAGTCACGTTATGAATAATCCCCATACTTGATGTGGATGTCATTAGTATTTCTTTTTGCTGTCCCAGGCTCCCATCCTGATGTCACATTAAGTCCCAGTCGTGTCTCCTGAGGCTCCTCTGGCTGAGTCAGTGTCTCAGACTCTTCTTGGTTTTGATGGTCTTGGCATTTAGGGGAGCGCTGCTCAGGTGTGTTGTAGAAGGGCCCTCAGTGTGAGGTTGGCTGACTGGGGTGATGGGGTTGCAGAAAAAACAGAAACATGAAGGGCCCTTCTCAGCACAGCGCCCTGGAGAGTCACCTGCACCTGCTCCTCACTGGTGATGTCACCTTCCCCCCTTGCTGAGGTCGGGTCTCCACTTCCTCCCCGGGAAGATCTTTCTTTCCTGTGTCCCTTTCCACACAGCAGTCGTTGGAAGGCGTCACCATGTGGAGGCCACACTTGAGGGGTGCTCTGCTATAAACATTTGTGTGCAGGTTTTGTGTAAACAAAAGTTTTCAAGTGAGTTGGTGAATACCCAAGAGAGTAATCAGCATGTTTTAGGGTAAATCTGTGTTTCACTTAATAAGAATTTGAAATTGCCAAATCTCTTCCAAAGTGACTATGTGGTTTTGCGTTTCCTCTGGCAGTGAATGGAGGTCCCTGTTGCTCCCCATTCTGGTCAGGACCTGGTGCACAGTGTCCCCCCTTATCTGAGGTTTCAATTTCCAAGGCTTCAGTTTCCCGAAATATCCTAGGTTCAAAGTTTTTTCATAATAAGATATTTAGAGAGAGATCACAATCACACAGCTTTTATTACAGTACATTGTTGTGATTTTGATTGTCCTGTTTTAAAGTTATTGTTATTATTCACATGGTGCCTAATTTAGAAAGTAAATGTATCATATGTATGTACATGCAGGGAAATCTTTGGGTATAGAGGGCTCCATACTATTGGTGGTTCTGGTATCCACTGGGGGTCTTGGAACACATCCCACATGGATGTAAGGGGGTCTGCTGTACTAGATTTGGATTTAAGCCATATAATAGGTGTGTATAGTGTGTCCTTGTTGCTTTAATTTGCACTTGCATTTATATATGTCTTTCAACATATGATGTCATGTTTCTGTTCATATGCCTAGTTGCCATCACTATAGCTTCCTTGGAAACTGTTCAGAGTTTTACTCAATTTTAAAAAGTTATCTGTTCCTTGTTGAATTTTAAGAGTTCCATGCATATTCTAAAACATATATTATATTAGAGTCATATTTTGCAAATATTTTCTCCTGGTCTGTGGCCCCAGCTCTTTTGCAGACCTAACACTCACATAGGTGCATACATAGACTTTCCTGGAAAGAGAAATGAGGAGATGCTGACTGCAGTGGGTTCAGAGTAGAGGAGACTTGGCAGACTGAGGATGCTGTGACTTATGTATTTGTGTATGTTCTTGAGTATTTATGAATCTTCTATGTGTGTGTAAGTAACAAATATTAGTAATTATCAAAATCATTTATTATCAAAAATAAATTGTACAACAATCCCTGACACTATCAAACACTTGGCAGATCCCCCTCAGTCACGTGTTCTCAGGCTCTGACCTTCTACTCCAGGACGCGCCATCTTGTCACTGAATGATTTTGCCTTAGAATTTCCACCTGACCAAGGTGGGCTTGGTGGATGGACACACCTTCCCACCGAAAGAGCTAAAAATGCGAGATATGTGTGAGATACAAAACAATTTTATTAAAAGCATTAGAACTTACAACATAGTAATAAACACCCAGAAGAGAAGGGTGAGACCCTGTATGGGCCCCACAGAGAACAGCATCCTGAGGAGGGAGGAAGGAGTGTGAGGGCCCTGCCCAGAGCAGACAGGAAGCCCAGCTCTCAGCTCTGCACTGAACCTGATGACCAACAACCATCGTCCCTTTCAAAATTTAGGAAGACCTGGTATAGTCTGCCTATGATGCATGTGTGCATATACATACATAGATATAGTAAAGTCCTTAGGATATAGTCTGTGTTCACGATAAAAAATATAAAATGTTACAAACAAAGCATTTTCAGACCAGGAGGGAGTAAAAAAAGTCAGCTGTTGCTCACACTGAGAAACAGAAAAACATTGAAATGAGGCCCCAAGTGTGGAGATGACTCATCATTGTCAACCTTCCCCAGGCAGGGCCAGCACCTGAGCCCAGAGGAGAAGGGCTGCACAGGAGGGAGCAGGAGGGAGGGAGCAGGGACGTGGACAGAGTCCACCCTGTCCAGTGTGAAGAGCTGTGGGGTCCTGGCCAGGGAGGCTCAGGAAAGCAGGGAGCATCTCCTCAAGCGTGACAGAAAGAATCTGGACACAAAGTAAACCCAGTTTCTGATGTCATAGAACACATATAAGTCACTTCTGCCACAATCCAAAGTGCTATGTCCCAAGGAAACTAAATTGTGTGAGTGAGGTGAATTAGAGGTGCAGGAGGAGGGCACTACCATCTTTTCTAGAAAAGGTGAATGACAAAAAACTATCATTCTTTAGATTGGTTAACCTGTACACACTTTCTAGACAATGAATGTGAGCTGTTGCTGCACCTCCCCCTGCAGTGACCTTTAGGGTTAACTGTCCCTAGGTCCAGCTGGGCAACCAGCGCGCAGGGGGAGAACAGCATAACACCCTGAAGCAGGGGAAGTACAGGGGAAGTTCCCTGAAAAGACAGAAGCTTATCAAAAGATAACGACCACCAGGAACCACTACAAGAATGCTAAAAATCTTATCCAGTCTTTCTAGAACTATAAACTTTAATCCCTTATTTGTCTTTCTAAACTTCCTTCTTTCTTCTATAAAAGTCATTGCTTGTTATGTAGATCACCTCCCTGATGGTGATAGGCTGAGCCCATGAGCAAGCTGATTTCATTGATATTCATTGTCCCTGTGCTTTTGAAAAACATATATATATTGGTCACAAACTCAAAGAAAATTACACTCAGATTTTCACTCTTGAAGTGTGTCTGTTTGTCATTTCTTTCACCCACGCCCTGACCACCCTGCACGCTTCTCTCAACCCTGAGGTGGCCTCATCATCTACTGCTGTGCTGGTCCGCGGCAAGCTGTCCCTTTAAGAAAATCAACTGAGGGCTTCCCTGGTGGTGCAGTCGGTTGAGCACCTCACTGTGAAGCTGTCTGAAGCCTCTGCATGCAGGTTCGATCCCACCTGGCCAGCGAGAATCCCACAGGGTGAAGCAGACCTCTCCTGTCTTGCTTGCTGCTCCCCTCAGCAGTGTATTTCCTCACTCTGCCTGTTCTGTTCTCTGCTCTGTCTCTGGTGAATCCTCTCACCTTCCCGCATCTGGCCTGTACCTTGATTCTTGTATAAATAAATAAATCTTAAAAAAAAGAAAAACTGACAGTTGATAAATGGTAGTAATTAGCTGCCTTGATAAAGTACAAGCTCCAAGTGAAAACCAGGTAGTGAAAATTGTGTCCCATATGTAAACTTGACAACTTCCAGTAGCCTCTTACTTTTCTTTGAGGATCTTTGGAATGGAAAACATGTATGATTTTCAAAATTTGATTCTTGAATAGTTAACATAAAGATCATATAACCTGATTAAAAAATGCTTCTAAAAAATGCTTTTAAAATCATGTATTAATTCAAGATTAATAATCAGTAGAGGCCTATGGAATTAATATAAGAGAACAGAAAACATTCAGTGATACAGTTCTACCACTCACTTTGCAAATAACATTTAAAAAGCCACCACTTGTATAGTTTCAATTTATTATAGAAGTGGAACAAAATTGAATAGTCACAATTATCTGAAAGGTACTTAAATTGCTATTTTGCTATTTTCACATATTTCGGAGAGGCTGTATCGTTTTTCATTGGCCCACCAAAACAAAAAGTAAATATGACAATCCAACAGTCCTTGAGTGAGACAGAGAAGAAAAATAATTGCAAAAATAGAAGCTCTGAAAGATCCACTCATGACCCTGATTATTTTCATTAAATATAGAGCTGGAGACTAGGAACGCGAAGTCCAATGCACAGACGTTCCGAGGGAACCTGTGCGCCCTGTGCAGCTACTACAACCAGAGCGAGGCTCGCCGCTTATGACCCCCATCCCCGCGAATGGGCGGGGAACCCCAGACCGCGGATCCAAGTGTCACCCCTCGACCCAGGACGAGCCTGAGGGACGTTCCCCCATGCGGTTTCCATTTCAGTTTAGGTTTAATCCCGGCTGGAGGGCGGGCTGGCGGGTGACCCCGGGCCGGGGACAGGCTCTCACACCCTCCAGTGGCTGGCTGGCTGCGACGTGGGGCCAGAGGGGCGCCTCCTCCTCGGGTACAGTCAGGTTGCCTACAACAGGGCCGATTACCTGGCCCTGAACCAGGACCTGTGCTCCTGGACCGCGGCGGACACAGCCGCTCAGATCTCCCGGGGCAAGTGGGAGGCGGCGGGAGAGGCTAAGAGCTTCAGGAACTTCCTGGAGGGCAGGTGCGTGGAGGGGCTGCGCAGAGACCTGGAGATCGGGAAGGAGACGCTGCCGCGCTCAGGTAAGAGGGGCCAAGGGTCTCCCAACCCACTTCAGGCCGGCACCTCGGGGAGGGTGGAGTCAGGGTCACAGCAGCGCCCCCTCTCTGGTCAGGGGAGGAGGAGCCCCCCGGGTTTCCTAATTCCCCAGAGGACCCCACTTTTCCTCAGAACAGTTAAGGAATCCAGTGTCTCCTGAGCCTGAGGGGAGACCAGCCCTGAAATCACCCTTCAAGGAATGTTTTGAACCCGGCAGCCCTCTTGGGAACCATCAGTTTCTCCCTCAGGGTCTTTTTATTGGTCTGAGGACATTTTTCTGATCTGATTCTGCTTTTCCGAGTCCCCAGGTCAGGAGCAAAAGCCTGTGCTCTCCTCATTAGAGAACTGTGTCCTCCTACACAAAGTTGTCTCCCTAATTCTAGAACTTTCTAAGTAATAAGTATTATGCCAGAATCCCCAGACCAGGCTGATTTCTAGATTTTGTGCTTCCTCTTTCCAAACCCCTGCCCTATCCATTCGGAGGATGGTCACAGGAGGGCTTTTCAGGGGTATGAGAGAAAAACCCAAAGTTTGACAGTTCTCACCCTTCTCCTCAGATCCCCCAAAGATACACATGACCCACCATCCCACCTCTGGCCAGAAGGTCACCCTGAGGTGCTGGGCCCTGGGCTTCTACCCTGCGGACATCACCCTGATCTGGCAGCGAGATGGGGAGAACCTGGCCAAAGACATAGAGCTGGTGGAGACCAGGCCTGGGGGGAACAGAAATTTCCAAAATTGGGTGTCTGTGGAGGTGCCTTCTGGGGAGGAACAGAGATACACGTGCCATGTGCAGCATGAGGGGCTGAAGGAGCCCCGAGTCCTGAGATGGGGTGAGGAGGGAACGTGGGCACAGTGCTTCTCAGGGGCATCAGGAGCCTTTCTGGAGTCCTTCAGAGCATGAGGTGGAGGCCTGGGGTTAAGGGTCTCATCTTCTCTTCCCTTCCAGTGCCCCCTCCTCAGCCCACCACCCCTATTGACTCCACCGACCCCACCATGGCCATCATTGCTGGCCTGGTTCTCCTTGGAGCTGTGCTCAGTGGAGCTGCGGTGGCTGCAGCTATGATGTGGAGGAAGAAACACTCTGGTAGGGGAGTGGCGGGGGGGATCTTGTCTACTGGGGACTTTCAGGCCACAGGTAGGACTTGTCTTACCTGGTAATTAGAAGTACCACCCACGCCCTTGAGTTGCCCAGTCTGGAACTGATTGCTAACTCTCTTTTGTAAAGCATTTTTGAAAATGAATCACATTGTTCACTTCAATAATTCTGGTGCTGGGGCCCTGATTCCCGCAAATGGCAGAGGGGAAGGCCCCTGCTGAGGGTACCCCAGCAGGCAGTTGGTCCAGTGCCCTCTCATTTCCTTTCTTCATATTTCCTGGTCTTTCTCTAAGTGTCCAGTCACAGTTCTGGGAACATCCCTGTGGTTCAGACTTGGAGATTCCTTTAAGATGTCATAGCCTGACTCCTCCCTGATCTCACATGATGCGTCTTCCCACAGGAGGACAAGGAGGAAGATACTCTCAGGCTGCGGGTAAGTGTGGATAAGGGGTTTGATTCCTGAGCCCCTGGGGACAGTGTAGCTGGAGCCCATGGGGTTTGGGGGTCACCCACATCAGTCCCTTCTGTGGTCTCATCTTTGTGACTCTGACCAGGTTCTATTTTATTCTCCACCAGGTGGTGACAGTGCCCAGAGCTCTGATGTGTCTCTCAGCCCCTGAGGTGAGACCCTGGAGGCCTGCGGTGGGAGGGACTGGGGCAGAGAGGATGGGACTAGGTTGTAGGGAAGCTGTGAGTGGGACATTCTAAGGATGCAATGGACTATGGAGAATGTCGACACTTACATGTTTCTTTAAATTTTTTTTTAATTAAAAAAAATTTTTTTTAGAAGTGGGGTACAGGCCAGAGTCGTGGGACATAAGAAGATTCACCTGAGAGAGTGGGGAGCAGAGCAGGCAGATGTACTCAAACACACTGCTGAGGGGAGCAGCGGGTGAGATAGGAGAGGTCTGCTGTGCCATGTGGGTCAGCTCCCTGGCTGCAAGGGGGTTGAACTAGCACCTCAAAGGCCGCAGACAGCTTCACAGCTTTGCGCTCAACACAGTGTGCCACCAGGGAGGCCCATTCTTTGGATTTTTTAATTATGATCCTTTTCCTTCACAGTGTGAGCCAGCTGCCAGGTGGGCGTTGAATGATGCAGGATTTCTTCTCACCCCAACTTTGTAACTTCAAGATCCTCTGGTTTCCTTTGCTGAAAAAGGCATCAGAATGTGTTTCTGTTCTTATGGGTGGGGAGACTGGCCCAGCCCTGCCCACCAAGCACCTACCCACACTGACCTGTGTTTCTCCTTGATGATTTTCCTGTTCCAACAGAGGCAGCTTGGTCTGTGTCTGCCCCTGTCTTTGTGTTTTCCTCAAGAATATTAATTACTTCCCACTTAAATAATAATTGAGTTCTGAAATTACTTTTCAGAACTTGCCTGATGGGTTTGGTGGGCTAATAAAAATGATTCCAAAATTTGAGATGAAATAAGTGGGAAACCTTCCAGAATCATTTGTTTGCTGTGCTGAGTCTGTGCAGGTGGGGGCGGGAGAGGCTGTGAGGAGCTGAGGGGGATGGGGCCTGTGTCCACTCGGTGCTCAGTGCGTCATGGGCTTTGACGTGGTCACTCCTCAGGGCTCATCTCTCTGCTCCTTTGTCCTTGTCCTTCAGGAGCACCTGTTCCAGCAGGGCCTGTGATCACAGGGACTCAGAATCCACATGGCCTTGTGCTGTCAAGTCTGGGCAGGGAGTGCTTATGTGGCCAGGTCAGCCCAGGCTCAGCTCAAGGTCTAGACTTTCTATTTATTCCTATTTTGTTTCTTTAGCTCTTTTGCTTTATGCATGTTCTTTCTGATGTTTAGAGGCCAGGCCGATGTCCTCTTGGTCACTGTCTTTGACAGCAGCAGGAGCATTTGTCATTGTCCCCACAAGGCCCAGGGTGTCCCCTGCACACAGGAGTTTGGTGAGGTGGATTTCTGATCTTTGGCCTCATTTAGCACTTTCTTCTGGATTATTCTTTCCATCTCTTCCAACAAAATCCTGGTATTACTAGAGAGGAGGGTTTGATAATTTCCTGATGGATTTAGATAAGTTCCTGATAGATTTCTGTTTTTCTCTACAGCTTCTCCCTATAGCCCTGCCCTTAAATGTAGTAACCCCAGTGCTGGTGCTAATTGAGACCCATTAGTTGATGGAGTCAGTTACCTTCATAGTTGACCAAAAAATAGGACCCATAAGCCTAGGAACCCGGACCTCCCTGGTGGCCCAGGGGTTAAGACTCAGTGCTATCACCTCTACACCCTGAGTTCAATCCCCAGCCAGGGAGCTACCCTCATATGGCACAACAGACCTCTCCTGTTTCCCTTGCCGCTCCCCTTAGCAGTGTATTTCAGTAAATCCACCTGTTCCGCTCCCCCACTCTGTCTCTGGTGAATCCTCTCACCAACCCCAACATCATACTTCTGACCTATACCCTAGTTCTTCTACACAAAAATAAATAAATCTTAAGCAAAAACCTACGAACCTCTTTTCAAAAAAATACACCTGTGTAATGTGCCACATTAGTAAAGACACTGTCTGTAGAACAGGGAGGTGCTGTGCGCTTATGACACAACTGATAACTGTTGCACTGGATGTGTGACTGTTTATGCAACTAGGAAACCTCAGTGAACTAAAAACATGCACAACTTGGGCATTCCTGGTGGCGCAGGCGGTTGAGCACAGCGCCGTGAAACTCTCCGCAGCCTCTGCAGTGGTGGTTCGATCCTGGCCGGCTGGGGAGATGCCCACATGGCGCAGCAGACCCCTCCTGTCTCACCCGCTGCTCCCCTCAGCAGTGCATTTCTGTCGTCTACCTGTTCTGTTCCCCACTCTGTCTCTGGTGAATCCTCTCACCCACCTGTGCATCTGGCCTATGCCCCTGTTCTTGTATAAATGGATGAATCTAAAAAAAAAATAAAAAAAAAATAAAACCATGCACAACATGTCCTAGTAGGGAGGGGAGACTGGGGACAGTGTGACAGTAAATCAGACAGAAAAACATGTGTTTCTGGTTAGAAGTGGGGAGTGGGGAAGGGATGGGGAAGGTGACCCAGAGTCAGTGTGTGGGGACAGGATGGTTTTCTTCCCAGCATGGTCAGTGTGGGTCTCACTGAAGTGACCTTTGAGAAAAAGTCTGATGGACACATTGCCCACAAGCATGTGATGTGCAGGGAAGTTCAGTCCAGGCAGTACACCCTCCAGTGCAGATGCCCGAGCAGGAATGTGTCTGTGTGGCTAACATGAGCAAGGAGGCCAAGGGCTGAGCAGAGGCCAACCGAGATGTGTGCACCCAGATTGTTCAGCCTGAGGATGTTGGGAGGGTTTCACTCTGAGTAAGGTGTGGGGTGACAAGACCTTCTGAGCAGATACACACTTGTGGGACTTTTCTCTGGTAGCCTCAGTCTGGCTGCTGTGCAGCATGGAAGGGTGAGGGGTGGGAAGAGAAATGGGGGAAACCAGTGCGGGTCCCCGGATAGAGAGGTTGGTGGCTTCATTGGGGGTGAGCAGGGAATAATAAGCAGTGACAGGACTGTGCATATGTAGACATGGACTTTACAGTGTTTCCTACTGCTGGGCTGTGAGAAAGGGGTCAAGGATGACATTCAGTGTTTCAGACTGTGCAGGCAGAGAGGCGGAGCCTCAGTGACATGGGGAGACCCCAGAAGAGCCATTTGTGGGCATCCCAGGCATTCAATTTAGGAAAGTTGAGTCAGATCCATTAGAATTGAAAGTGATGTTGGCAATTGGACAGACAGGTCTGGGGCACAGGTGAAATGTCTGAAGGAAGAAATAAGTCTGGGAGGTGATGTGATGTCAATGATACTACAGTCTTGAGCATGTAAAGGTCACCCAGAAAGTGATGACTCAGCAAGAGAAAGGGGCAGAATTTAACTCTACATTCCACAGTGATGAGCAATTCAAGCAGACATCCCCCAGAGATGACTGCACATGGAGACCAGGGACCCCACACTTCAGTGAGCACAGGAGTCACCTGGATACTCAAGAAGATTTAGAAGGTCTAGAACAAAGCCTGAGCTTCTGGTATTTGGGCCCTTCCCTCACCCTAAGGATGGAGAATTTAGGACTGATTCTCTGGAAGAGGAACTTTCATCCCTGGAAGCAGGAACAAGTAACAGGGACTCTGGAGTCCAAGTTCCCATCCAAAGAGATTGAGGGAAACTGTATAATTTGGGGACCCAGAACTGGGGGAGCAACTGTTATGACCTAGACACCGGCTCTTCCGTGAGGCCTGTACCCAGAGTTACTCAGTAGGGGGGAAATCTGAGGACCCCTAACCTGACAGTGGACCTGTCCTGCCGCTGGGAGCCCAGGGAGCCTGGGGAGGGCCTGGCTGAGCAGGAGAAAGGGCAGCTCTGGGCTCCTGCGCTCAGCCCTTTGGCCACACGGGGGCGCTGCCGCGCAGTTCCGGATTCTGGTGGAGCCGCCAGGACGGGGCTGGGGCTGAGGTGGGCAGAGTTGGGGGTCCTGGAGGGCGATGTCCTGGGGGTGAGATGCTCTGTGAGGAGTCAGAGAAGTAGGGCTCGGAGAAGGGGAGACTTCGGAACCCCCAGTGGGTGTGAGGTTCCCATCTTTTCTCCCCAGACCCCCTCTCTCCAGGCCCTTGAAAGCAATACCTGGGAAAATTGGGTAGTTCATCATTTTTCCTTCTACAACCTCTAACTTTGTTGAGGGCTATTTTTTTTTTGTTATTTTAATTTAAAATTTAATTTCCAACAACATTAAAAAAATACTGTTACATTTACAGACATGGCAGAGGTAGTAGAGTTCCTGTATAACGCACACCATTTCCAAATTGTTAACGTCTCATGGACCACAGTGCATTTGAGAAGCTAAGGAAGCAATATTGAGGCACTTTCACTAAACACTGCACTGTATTTGGATTGCATTAATTTTCCTAATGCTCTTTTCATGCCCCGAAATTCCAACCAGGACACCACATGAAGTTCCAACCACAATTCCTTAGTGCCTCTGGCTGACAGTTTCTCAAACTTTCCTCTTCTGATGACACTGTGAGCAGAGCTGCTCAGGCACAATGGCCTCCATTGGAGGCCATTCTCCATCAGCACATCAAGTGTACAAATATCCACTTTCATTTTTCCTTTCTTTAGTTATTGTTGTCTTCGGAAGGAAGTCATTATGGGCAGCTCACAATTAGTGGGGGTTCTGCTATAAACATTTACTTCCATGAAGGGTTTTTTGGTTTAGTTTCCTTGTTTGTCGTTTTGCAAATACAAGTTTTCAGATTAGTTGGGTAAACAGCAGGGACAGTGCTCACTGAACTGTATGGTTGTTCTGTGTCTGACTTTAACCTGTGATTTTTTTTAAGATTTATTTATTTATTTATACAAGCACTGGGTATAATCAGAAGTGCGGGAGGGTGAGAAAATTCACCAGAGCCAGAGTGGGGAGCAGAACAGGCAGAAGGACCAAAGTACACTGCTGAGGGGAGCAGCGGGCACGGCAGGAGAGGTCTGTGCGCCATGTGGGACTCTCGCTGGTGGCTGGGGATTGAACCGCTGCTGCACAGGCTGCGGGCAGCTTCACAGCCCAGCACTCAACCGCTGCGCCACCAGGGGAGACCCTAACCTGTGATTTTGAGCATCACAGTTATTTGGCATCTGTGTCCTTCATTGGTGAAGGCTTTTGTCCATTGTTTGCATTGGATCATTTCTTGTTGTTGATTTGTAGGACTTCTTTTCAATATCAATTCTAGATACAAGTGCTTTATCAGATACATGATCTAATTTGCAATCATTTCTCCCACTCTGTGTCTTACACTCTTGCACTTATACAATTGTATACATTAGTGACTAGATACAGGCATAGATATATTTTTCTGGAAAGAGAAATGATAAATTGCTAAAGAGAATGATAAATTACATTCCACTCCTTGGGATTTATCAAAAGAATGCAAAATTTCAAGGGATATGTGTACTCTTGTGTTCATTGCAACAATATTTACAATAGCCAAATTATGGAAACAATCCATGGGCATAAAAAAAAAAATAGATGGCACCTCCCTGGTGGTGCAAGGGTTTAAGACGCAGCCTATGAAGCTGTTCGCAACCACTGCAGCACGAGTTCTATCCCCTCGTGGGTAAATGTCCACCCAAATGGGATTGGCCCAGAGCAAGTCCTGAAAACCTGCCCCAAGTCTAAAACACCTTCCGCGGGGAGCCACAGGAAAGGACCAGAAACAGCCAAACAAGTCTGGGGGGAAAAGAGCAAAATTTCAAAATCAAGATGAAAGCTGCCACTGTCACCTCCCCACAGGTCTCTCATCCACATCTATGTCACCCAGTCCACGACCAAAAAGCAACTGCAGTTTCTTCACATGTCTCTTGGCTCCACATGCCTCTTCCAAGTCTCCTTCTGGCTCCATCCTGCTTCCTTCCTTCCTCAGTCTCCTTTCTAGCTTCTTCTCTCCCTGCTCAGCTCCTCCCTCCCTTGGGTCGGGCAGGGAACCTGGAACTTTCCGTTTTCTTGGGGACCACCCTGTTACTCTGGATAACTCATACAG